TGACTTCATTTTTTGTACAGTTGACATGGGCCATTGATACTGGTCCATTTTTTTCCGTGCAAGCTAATTCCAACATGTGTGGATAGATTGTTGATCAATAATATCTCGGATTTGACAGGGGAGAAGCTTGATAATACGAGACAAATATATTCGGGCACCGGTAAGATATATGAGCTAAACTGCACGATAAGAAATATCAACTAAAACCAAACTAAAGATCAAGATAAAACATCTTATTTTAGCACCAAAAGATCAAACTCAAAAAGAGAGAATATATAGCTTATAGTTGATGTATTAGCATTAACCCAAAATGACACAAAGGAGGGATATTTATAGGGTTACATGTGAAATGGTGACCATTTGATGAGGGGACACGTGGTCTTATTTTCTTAACCGAAGCATCTTATCCTCTTTATCAATTTTGACTTAACTAGCCCATGGCTCATTAAATGCTCCCAACAGAGGGGCAGCCACCTTATACCTTATGTTGACTGGACTTCGACATATGGAGTCAAATCAATCATTCCAACAAGATTTCATGAATTCAGGATCTTCAAATGCGGGTCGTCACATGTCGTGGTAGAGGTGATTTGACTTTGTTGAGCCTCACCACTTTGGCAAAGGGGCTTCCTTAACACTTTAGCAAGAGGCTTCGGCATGGCTTCGGATTTTACTCTGTTGAGGCTCACTACTTTGGCAAGGGAGATTCTTCACCACTTCGGCAAGGGGATTTGGCATGGCCATTCACATGGAACCGCTTTGGTGAAAGTGGATTTCGATGCTCCAGATTTAGTGGACTTTGGTAGGTCCTATGCACTCCACATGGGATGCCATGTGGCTTTGGCTAAGAGGCTTCGGTGAATCGGCCATGTGGGATGCCTGGTGTCAAAGCGCAACAAAATTATTCAACAAATGATAAAAATTTGGTGCTAGGTCATGATTATGGCTCATGGAGGAACCCTTCCACATATTATAATTGGGTTTTAATAAGTTGAATCATGTAATTTGAAAATCAAAAATTGAAGGTGATGAATTTGTATTCTTGTTATCTTTGTGCGTAAAATCACTGTGGCTTGCCCGTGGAAGGGGAATATGATACGTTTACTTGGTAAATAAGCTTCATAGGCCTCTACATCCATTGCAAGTTTGCTTTGGTTTAGTGTCTTGACACTTGAGCTATTCCTTTATGCTTTTGTTCCTTCCTTTCCCATGTGCAGGAAAAAAAAATAATAATAAAAAAAAATCTACAAAGCTGCTAGCTCATCTTTGTACGTGAGGTCTTTTCAATGTAAAATATGGCATAGTAGTAGTTTTCAGAAATATATAGCAAAGAAAAAAATAAAATAAAAAAATAAAAAAAGATTGGCATGCTTTAGTTCACAACTGATAGCTTACATTAAATATACATTATATTGAGATCCATTTGCAGGTATCTATCTGCAGCTTTTGGTGGATTTAAGGAACCACAACGACGTGCAATATCTATCGAAGTAAGATCTGTTTACTAATCTACTAACTTAGTTCGGTTCAAATATCCTTATTGATCTCTGTCTGGACTCAAAGTAAGGATCTGGGCTTGTTGGCTTGTTGATTTCTTAATACAATCTTTTAAGCTCACAAAGATAAATAAATTTTGTTTTTGAATTGGTATTTCTATGCAGGTTGGTATGCAGAATTCCTCATTAGGAGTGGTTTTAGCAACCTCTCATTTTACCTCAGGCATGGTTGCATTACCTGCAGCATTGTCAGCTGTAATTATGAATATAATGGGCAGCAGTTTAGGTTTCTTTTGGAGATATGTTGATCCATCTGATCCAAAGGACAACCTTAAAGTTGACCAAGAGTAATATGATTTATCATACATTCTGGAGGATGGTTTTTTCTACTGTAAAAATTTGCGTTCTTTTCTCGTTGGAATTCTTTACTTCTAAAGCCTTTCTAATCGATAGGAATGTTGTGCTTTTAATTGATTTTGTGCTTAGTAATGTTTTGACTCAGAAAAAGGGAAAGGGTAAAAGATCAAACTTAGCCATGTCAAAAATTGGCCTAAACATTGACTTGGGAAAAGGGAAAGTGTAAAAGGCTCACGTGGCCGATCTTAAGAATTTTGAGGCCTTGGATGACTAATATTTTTTTGAGGAACTTTAAAACTATTTTTTTATTTTTTTTATCAAGCCTAACAATCTTTAAATAAATAACATACTTATATTTAATGAATACTTTTTACAATCTAAAAAATAGAACTTGTATTATTATTATTATTATTATTTATTTATTTATTATTATTATTATTATTATTATTTTTTTTTTGAAGAGAACTTGACCATTTTATTTAGCACTAGTTTTTTTGGTTTCATGAAAGGATACATGACATGCCATCCCAAGATATGAATTTTAACTAAGAACCCAAATGCATGTTTTTGTCTATTTTTCATTAGGGAATTTTCCATGAATACTTGAAAGTTGTCTTTAGCCACCTAATCTATGAATATTGAAACCTCATACCAAAGTTTCCCATTTCACCAGAATTGATATTCAGCCTCCCATTTCACAAAAAATGATATTCACATTTAGTCCAATCTTCTCCTCTTGGCATCTGAGGCATTTGGGTTTCTCTCATCACTTTTATAGCTCAATCTAGAAGCCTTCAACACCCTATTTGGACTTTGGAGGCAGTAATGATGGAACAACGCCAGTAGCCATATTTGCAGTAATGGAAGAAAAAAGGCACTAATAATTGATTTTAAATCTTGAATAAGTTCAATGCATTTCAACATTCTTTCCTTCTCTACTCTATGAAATCAGATAGTGTTCTAACTCGTATCAATGTTCATTGTCTATATTTCTTCCCTTGAAACATACGTTACTATTGATTGCTTCAACTAACTCAGATGGCCTCCAAGAGTAAAGATTTGATTCTTGAATCCAAATAATTCACTTTCAAGAAAAGATGGAAGAGAGAGAGAGAGAGAGATGCCTTTTTAAGATTTTTTCTGAGGCCCTAGGCTTTTGCCTGGTAGCCCTTGGGTTATGGCCGGGTGGCCCTCATAATCCAAGACCTTTTCTGCAGAATATATCAATGTGAAAATGAAGTTTTTAGATATTATGCAAAAGAATGAGACATCTAATTCTTTCATCATAAGTAAAAATTCCGATGGGGCCATATGACAAAGGTGCCATTATTTCCATGGATGTGAGATTTCTAAATAAAGTTGAGGGCATAAAAATGTCTGCCATGAGCGACAAAGAGGTGGGACTAATAATGGGACCAAACGGCCCTTCAGTGATCAAATGAGTTGTTACATTAAAATACTTCACATGGTAGGACTAAGTGTGACGTGACATAATAAAACTAGTAGACAAGATAATGTATAAAATTTAATTTTTCACTATTACCCACCAAATTTTACTAAAAATGTCATGAACATTATGTGTAAAATTTAATTTTTCAGTGATCAATTAGTTGTTGTTACATTAAAATACTTCACACGATAGGACTACGTACATGAATAATACTAGTAGATAAGATGATGTATAAAATTTAGTACGTAAGACGTAATGGGACTAAACTATGTAGACACAAGACTAAGGAACGTATCATGTTTCATAAGAGCTCATGTCGATAATTGTGATCTACATACATTATGCTCCCGGGTTGTCTCAATTTTTGTCAAGAATCGATTTTCATTAGGAATTATATGGGCCTCATCTGTATTATTATTTTTGGCAGGACAAATTATGATACAAAAGAAAGATGACACTCCATCAAATCCATGCGGTTGCTTTTAACAAAGACAATTTTATTTCTATGTAGATTTTTGATTTGACGCATAATCTCAGTGACACAATTATGTTGTAAAGGTTGAACTTTAATCTTGAGAGCTCCCACCATTCCATCCCTAAAGCTTTGTGAGGGAGGTAAATCGCGGGATGTACCCCAATAGGTTCGGGACCAAGAGCTGTCTGTACACTGCGTCTACAAGGAGTTCAATTCCATGTTTCAGGAATCGAACCCCCACACTGCGGCTATCAGCAAGGTTTGAGATAACCTCACTCACGTCCTTTACACCACTGGGCTATGTCTCGGGGGCAACACAATTATGTTGTTGAGTAACTTACTGAGGGATATATTTGGTATTTCCAGATAAAGTGCGCGCGCGCGCATACACATTTGCCATGTGCTTGAAATCCTTTCTTGACTGTAATCTATTTTGACTAGAAACTTTCGGTTTGTGGGTCTAACATTTTTATTTTTATTTGTTATAAATGTTGAGTTGTTGGGTGTCTAACTTGCTGATTATGTATAAATACATAAGCGTTAGTCATCAGAAACAACTTGTATAACTTCGAATATTATGGACAATATAATAAGTTAAGCTACATTTTCTTGTGGGGTCAATTTATGTGTTTAATTTCTCGTCAATTAATAGATAGTAAATTTAATTTAAATATTGAGATATATCATAAACTTATTTATCGATAGATTAATACATGTCACCGATGTTTAATAAATCATTTTAAACTATATATACAAATAAAGCTTATCAAATCCTACAATTTGAGAATGTTTATATGAGCAAAAACTTGGGGATTATGATGCTTATACTCAATTTATTGTTTCGTCGGAATGCTTTGTAAATTATTTATTTTCTCAATTAAAATCTTTACAATTTGTGTACTTGTTACTGAGTTTTGCTCAAGTTCAAATTAAAGTTTACAAGTTATAAGCTGAAAGTGCTTATTATAGAGTTAATTCCATGTATCATAATTTTAACAAAATAATAAATTTATATGACGATTTTACTGGAACGATAAGTTTCTCTCGAGACGTGAAAGGATCAAGAGTCAAATCAGGTGAATAAACCCAAGTACAATGTGCTACTACGACTAGATTCTTATTTCACAAACGTAGTCCGTTAAAATTATCAAACATCGATTGATATTTCACTATTAATCCAAAGACTATGGTGGAGTTATATCCATTTGGCAAAATTTATAAATTAATGAGAAATGATCAAATTTTATTTTCAATTATACATTTCAATGGACTCAAAAACACTCTCAACTCATAAAAGAACGTTTATAAATTGGTGAGGCTAATACACATATATTACTTAGAGGCTAATACATTTATAAATTATTGAGGCTAACACATACATAATTACCTATAAATTAAAATGCTTGCTCTTCTCCATTCTTGTAACTTATAAGAGCAAAAAATGCACTTAAATTGAAATGTCCATCATTTCCATTGCCAAATTCTCAAGCATCAGAGCTTCTAGTGCTTCTCTATTGCACTGCATCTGGTTTCCTGTGATTTGTAACAAAGCATTGATGAATTAATTAATGGTCACTCCATTAATTAAATATGGATTTCTTTATTCAAATTGTACTTTGCAAAATGTCAAAACTTGAACTTTTAATTTTTGTCATATTAAATTACCTTATCTACCCTTGTTTGGTAGGGATTAAAATATGATTTTTAGTAAATTTTGATAAAAATTGATGAAATATGAGATTAAAAAAATTGTGGACTTCATAAAATATGTGATTAAAATTAATTGTTAACTTTCACTTTGATTAAAATTTAGATTTTAATCCCTACTTGACCAGGGAGAATGTTTACCATGACAAGTTCTACGAATTTTTCTCCAACAAAAAAAAAAAAAAAAGTGTAGAACTTTTAAACTTAGAGCTTGTTTGTGAGAGTGATTTTGAAAATTAATTTTTTGACCGTTAGGGAAAAAATGGGGTACACCTCTGAGAGAAGAAGTCAAATATAACGGTTGAAATAGTGAAATAATGGTAAAAAAAACAATTTTTTAGGCCAAAAAATCACTCCCAAACATGTGCTAGTGAATTGAGAAAACTCACCATAGCGAGATGATGTAGGGAGATTAGTAGGGTTCGGTAGCTTCTTTAGAGGGCAGGATGAAAGTGGAAGAACTGGCAGATTTTGACAATTGCAAATTTCAATCATATAACCATCTGGATCATGGAAGAACAACTGATCCACTGTTATGCCTCCTTCTTTAACCACTGCTGTCACATATTCTATTTTCATTTCTTCCAATTTCTGAATGATGAGTTCCATATCTGTGCATTGGAATGAAATGTGGTTGTCTTTCGGATTTATTTTCTCTTTCTTGTTGGGAACTTTTTCTGCAGCACCAAGCAAATGGATTCCTATTCCATGGTTGAACAACCTACAAATTAAATTCAATTTGGATTAGTAATCAAATTCCTACCAAACCTTGATGATTTGTACAATTTCAAAACCAACTATACATTCTTCGAGTTTTGTCACTTAATCCCTATACATCTTGAATGTGAAGTATTTGATTATAAATTAATATTGTTTGTGGGGGTGGGCCGTGGGGAACTGAGTTGGTCGGACGAGTATGGATTAAAACCAGTATGAAAAAAGAAATGTCTAACGCCACTGCATAAGAGTATACTATATTAGTATGGACCAATTCTTGAAAGCATTGAAAATTTTCTTTTCCTTTTTTTTGGAAATGGGGGTGTTTAAATCCTGCATGTGTGTGTGTGTGTGTGTGTGTGTGTGAGGGGGAGAGAGAGAGAGAGAGAGAGAGAGAGGAGTAAAGGTACCAAGCTCCTTCAAAGTCGAAGGAAGAGGGCCTCTTGATGAGGACGAATCCAAGAACTTTCTCATAAAAATGCACAGATTTCTCAACGGATTTGCAGACATAAGAGACATGGTTTAACGACAAGAATGACAATTTATTTGCTTCATTAGAATATTGTAATGACTCACTCGACACCTCCTCTATTTCTCCATTCACAATCTCTCTTCCCATCTTTCTTTCTCTCACTTTTTCCCTCTAAAACTCCTTCTTCTTGTCCTAATTTTATGCACTCTGTTGTTGTATATATACCGCTCAATGCTGATAAGATAAGCGGAATGAGTGGGCGAAAAGAAAGATAGAGGAGAGAGAGAACTATGCCTTCTCAATCCTACGTGACATTTGACCTCCGCGTGATAAATTCAGCATGCTTATTCATTCTCATTCTCATCTACAGACGCAAATGGAAATGATCAACGTGCATAAACATTAAAGTCTATAAGTTTGAATATTCAGAGATTCACTAAGATTTACAAGCAGCTTTTGTGCAGATTTCACAAGAAATGCAATAATGATTTTAGAAGTAATCAGTAAACATGGCATATCATTGTAGACTCACTCTTACATGTTTGTTTGGTAAGAGGATTGTATACGTACAATGTTAACAAAAATGAAAAAATTGAACTTTCGTGTTATTCTTCCCCTTCTACATAATAAATTCTTAATGTATTGGACAAGATTGATGAAAAGAAGTAAATAACAAAATTTATCATTTATTATGTATGTTTAGTCAAGTTTTAAATAATTTAGCGCTCACGAGACATTATGTAAAAGTGTTCCAAACCCACGAGACATTATGTAAAAGTGTTCCAAACCCAACATTTAAAAAACATGTTTTGTGACGACTAAAGACAATAAACACCGTTGTTTGTTGTTTTAGATTTAAATTAATTCTATTTATCTTTAAGATTATGGATAAATCCATATGTACAGAATAACTTTTTACAGAATGTTGCTAGAATGGTCTCATGATGTGGGGCCCACCATGAAAAAAATTGCCAAAAAATATCTTACTCACCCCCCTATGTGTGTATTCTGGCAGCATGCAACATTCTGTAAAAACTTTTTTTGTACATCAAGCATGACTCTAGGGTTATTAGCTTTTTCTTTATCATGCAGTTTTCCTTAATTGAGTTCGCTATCCCAAAACTTTCTACCATTGCATGTTTACGGATGTGAAATTAATGGTCAAAATTGAATTCAATTCCTCCGATAAAAAGGAACATAATCCATCAAATTGGATTCTTGGGTAGTTTTGGCACTAAATATTTTTGAATTTCTTTATCTGAAATGATTAACTTTTCCACTGTAGCTCAGGAATTTCCACGTTTAGGCCCATTTGATAGTCTGTCAAGAAAACGATACCGTACGTTTGGCATTTTTAAAACAAGCCATAAGCTGATAGCTTATAGCAATAATTTTCTAACCAATATGTCTGACTAATTTAAAGTTTAAAACCAACTTGCAAGTTTATATTTCTTATGGAAAATGTTAAGAGTATACATCTATACTTTTTCATATATGGAATATATTAGACATTATTAGAGAACAAAAATAATTCTTGAATTTATAAGTTATCTTATTAATTAGATCAATTTTTTTTTTTTTTTTTTTTTACCGTGGTTGTACGGGCCTGCTTACGCACATTACGTCTAATTTTACGGGACCTTGAAGTATACGATCGAGTGCTCATCTCAATGGCTTTGAAGGGACTCAAACTGGTGACCACTGGAGAGCAAATTTAAGATCTGATTACTAATTAATTATATATATAGGTCAAGGAGAAAAACATAAAAAACAGATAAATTGATGCAAGAAAAACAGATTAAAAAGAAAAAAAAGGAATAAAAAAAAAAAAAAAAGATTGGTATGGCTTTGTGTTGGTGGAAGTGTACTTTCACACCTAACCTCTTCTTTTAATTTTTTAATTTTTTAATTTTTTTCCACTTTCATACGTTTGTCCAAATAAAAGTTGACAAAAACCAGCTTCTCGTATCATCTCCAACTTTCTCGGTTCTTTTTAATTCAATTATTTGCAGTGGACACAGCAACACGTAATGCCAACTGGTCTATTATATATTTAGTTTTTTATTATTTTCAATTTATCTTTTGTTTATTAAGTCATTTATTTGAAAATTGAAACCATAGCTACTATGCACATGCTTCATGCCGTAGTCCTAAATTCAAGTTTGGCAAAGCTTTGCATTTTATTTTTTTTTAAAATTGATCGAACATATTTTTTATTTCAACAATTCGTAAGATCCACAACTTATTACACAACTCACTATTTAAGTTGATCAAACATATTTTAATTCCAACAATTCATAAGATGCACAACTCACTATTTACAGGCATGTAAAAAAGCAGTACTCATAAAAAGTGTTTTTTAAAAATTAATCTTGGTCTACTAATAAGGACATTTTGTTATTGCTTCGAGAATGTTAGAGTTCTTCTATTATTATTATTATTTTTCCTTTTTAGGACGAAATATTTGAACTAGTGTACATTTGAAATTGTCAAGAAATGAGAAGTCGAAGAGTTAAGTGAAGATCCATACACAAAATTCGAGGATGTATATAAGTGAAAGACATAATCCAGAGATGTTTTAAAGTGAAATATGATCATGTAAAGAAGGAACCAAGCCACGAAATCATAAGAAAAAGGAAAAGATCCTAGCTAGCTGCTCAATCGATACAGATCCCCCTTGCTCATGCAGCAAAAGAAGGAAAAATGAGCACAAATCAGTTGTTTGTGCAACTCAGGGCTGTTGCTTAAGCAATACCTGATTCAACACTCGAATTTTACTTATGGTAGGACTTCTAGACCAATTTAAACTCAATTTTTTCACCTTAAATTGAGGCCTACATATATTAGGAGTTTTAGCAACGGTAATGAACGTTGCTATAGAACTAAATTTTAACAACATTTAATAAAAGCTACAAAAATGAAACTTTTGGCATCAATGAACGTTGCAAAATGTTATATATTATGAGTTTCAGCAACATGTACCGAATGTTTTTATAGAACCAGAATTTAACAATGTTTAAGAAACGTTGCAAAAAATGAAACTTTTCACAATAATCAGCAACAAGGCATTGAACATTGCCATGGAACTAAATTTTAACAACGTTTAAATAAGTTGCAAAAATGAAACTTATTGCAACAGTCAATGAATGTTATAATATACTATATCTTAAGAGCTTCAATAACATTCACTCAATGTTTGCCATAGAACCATATTTTAATAACGTTAAAAGAATGTTGCAAAAAAAAAAAATTTAAATAAAAAAAATAAAACTTTTATCATAAGTCAATGAACGTTGCAAAAGGTAACATTAGTAACCCAAAACTCAATTACGCTAACCAATAGCAACATTCACTTATTAGAATATTGTGACAGATCACTTTAGCAATACTCAGGCCCTGTTTGATTCCTATTTTTCTCTTATTTCTTTTCAACCACACATTTTTCATTAAAATAACATTACATGTAAATAAAAAACTTTTCATCCACACATTCTCCATCAATTTACTATTCTAAAATTTATCTTTCCACAAAAATGAGTGTCAAACACCCTCCCAATTAACAAATTTTGCATCGTGTGTTGCAAAATGCCATTTATGTTGTAGAGTATACTAGAACCCTTGTACAATATAATGGGCGCTTGAAGAGGATAAAATAACTCAAATTTACAACTAAGGATTGGCAATTTAAAGAATAAGAAGCTTGGGGGTTTTAACATTCATGCTTAAAGATTCAACTACGTTCTCTTTCCTTCACTTTTCTTTATCCGGTGATATTGAGCTCAACTCTTGTGTATTTGAAATATTTGAATATACGAAGCTAAGTCTTAATTAATGACTTTCAAATCTTGATCTGTATTTGAATGACATGTGATTTATTTTGCTTTTGAAAGGTTGAAAATAAATTCTAGCACCCATAGCAAACATCAAAATAGAGATTTACAATTATATTATGTGATCTTTAATTAAATATTCTAGCCTAGATTGTGTTCTTGATTATTTGCAACTTCCATAGAGATATAGGATGTTCATAAGTAAAAATAGGTTTAAATCCTACTTACAAGAGATTGTTAGACACATTAGAAAAATTGATCATCAAATCAAGATAGGAATGGTTGATTACGAGAAATTGAGCATTAACTGGAAAAGAAAACTTAGGTAGAGTCGAAGCCTTAGTGCCTTTTTCATATTTGAAACTTCTCCAAATTTTCATTCAACCTTTAGTTCGATTTAGTTAGTTTTTAGTTAAAAAAAAAAAAAAAATCCTAAAAACTTGGTTAATTCAGTTAATGTAAGATTTTTTGTATTTTAGAGCTAAATACAAGCCTTCGTGCAAATAATACTCTATTCACATACTATTTCTTATTCATGATATCGTGCACATGCAGGTTCAAGCAATGAACCACCAAACACGCTCTAAATTTCACTCCCATATTTAAGTTTTTGAATTTTTTTTGACAGTATTGAAAAATATCAACAATAAAATGACACGAAAAAATATAAAAGGTTGTTGGCTAGCAACTAAAATGTATTTATCATGTGTTGATGAATCTCTTATAAAACTTTCATTAAGGTTTTGGAAGATCGAATCATCAGAATGAAGCTTAATTATCAGAATATTCATCTTTATAACTATCAGACACATTTTTGTTTTATAAGAGGGCAACACTATCAAGATCCACTTTTTGAATGCGAACCCACTTAGATATCGCAGAAAATATCTACCAACTACTTAGATTCTTATTTATTGACCATCACATCTAGAGAAGATAAGAAAGGCTATTGCTTAAAATTATAATAGAAGGTAGACATTCATTTTATTAATATTCTTAATATATATTAATTTATATGTATTGTAAAGTAGCTTGTTTATCTTTTCCAAATGTGGACCAGTTCATGAACATGACTTTAAGAGTCAATTTTCGGTAGATAGAGTTGATTTGATCCAACATTGGAGTAATTCCATATACAAAGCATACATAAAAAAGAAGGCAATCTTTTATGATTATTCAATACTAAAGCATTTCAAATCAAAACCAAACAATAATACTATTAAAGACGTGATAATCTACAACATTTTACGCAACATTTTTATCTTATTAATTCGTTCAATTTAACATTCTAGATAGATATTCTAATTGCAAGATTGATAACATGGGGATCGTTTTTATAAAAAGAAGAAGAAGAAAAAAAAAAGAACAGCAATCAGGATTTTT